AAGTTTCTTCAGCTCTGACTAGATGGTGGGGAATGGAAAGATTCATACACCTTGCAGACAGGTGGTCATTTGCATTCTTTTAGCGAGTCATTAGTGCTATCTTGAGGCTTATCTGTGTGTGCACAAATGTGTGTGGAACTTCTTGGAACTGTTGAAAGGACTGTGTTGTAGGCTGGAGATAGATGATGTCACATCCCTCTCCCTCTACAATCCAGTCCTTTCAACAGTTCCAAGAAGGTTCCACACTAAAAGAATGAAAATGACCAGCTGTCTGCAAGGAGTATAAATCTTTTCATTCCCCACCATCTAATCAGAGCTGAAGAAGCTTCTTGGGTGAGAAGTGAAATGTCTTCAAAGAAAAACAAGAAAGTCCAGTTGCCTTGTGAAACAGCATCTTTGGGATAACTGTGATCTGGATGACTGAGAATCTCCATAGACACTGGCAATATCTCTAGTATTCCATTTAATAGGAAATCAAGCACTTATTTAGTCTTCTTCACTTCTGGTTACTATAGACTATGAGTTTCACCAGATTATTTCCGGAGCAGATTCACAATTCAAACAATGTTTGCGTTTTAACTATTAAGTGCAAGAAAGTTATTTTTACATTCATGGATAATGAAAATCATTTAGCATTGGATGTGAGGGTTACAATCATCTGTGCATTACCTGAAAATATCTGAAATATATGGGAATTTAAATTAGAGCGGATGTGTATATTAAGCAATATAAAATTTACATATTTTATCAGATTATTGTAAAATAGATAAAACAGAACCTGCAAAGTTTGTGCAATCAAAGTAATAATACATAAGATGGTATCTTCCAGATCCGGAAAGCTAGGATAAAAGTCCATTTTCTCATCATCAAAAGTCAATTCCATTCTGAACAAAGGCAGCCATCTCTGATCTTCTAAGTCAAACAACTTCACATAAGCTTCAACAGTTCTTTTTAATAACTCCTTCAGCTAAAAGTAAGGTTTAAAAAAGATTTCAGTGCACACAATTAAAGCAATCTTCTATATTGACTTGTTTATTCACAACTTCCATAATATAAATATGTATATTTTGAAATTCAAATAAAACAGGAACATTCACATAACTCTTGCAATAATCTCTCATATATTCAGATTCATAAACCTTTCACAAAGTTTTTTTGAAAGAAAGATTTTTTATGAATGATCTGAATTCTTCTTTTGCTAAGGTGATGGAAAACAAAAATTCTTAAGATGCATACATAATGCTCTACAGAGATCTGAAAAGTCATGAAAAAGAGACCTGATTAGACATAAGTGTAGTCACACAGTTATAGAAAGAATCCATTTGATCAGGTTTCACACCCTCCAGTGCTTCTTTTCTGGTAAAGAGATTGATAACCCTTGGATACCATGTGTTTAATATCTTTTCTTCTGTTTTTAAGCATTTTATAGAGACATCATTTTGAAGGGATTCACATTCTACTGGGCCTCTTGACCTGTATCAATTTAAGAAATGAAACGTTAGGCAAAATCAATGGACAACAAATATAAAACAAATGTACATGTTAACAGTTATAAAAAAGCCAGAGTCCTTATATTATTTGTGTATTTTTGGTCCTGATTTAAAACTCACATAAAAAATAAGTGAAATTTGCAATAAAGTATTATGATGTGAGTGTCATAATTCTGGGGAACTACAGTTACGTTATTCCACTTCCACTTCTCAGTTTTTTCATATTTTCCGCTACACAGTCACATTCAATCTTCACTAGGATTCTTTTTAAATTTTCTTTTCATAAAATGGAATTTATTTTTTCCTGATTGCTAATAAGGAAGTTTTCCCAAGCTTGTTCATATTCCTTCTTGTCTATACATGCATCGCTCTGGCTATGTACAATCCCTCTGGAGAATAAATTCATAATTAATGTGGAGAAGAGACTATCAACTGTAGTAGATATTATATGGTGTGTATCTTATATCATCTTAAGAATTCTGCAAATTAATTGCCAAATACTAAAACATTCAAAGTGAATTGTAAAAACTATGTTATTAGTGATATATTTTACCAAAAGAAAATAACAATTAGAATTATGCATATATTCTGTATTTAGAAAATTAAATCCAGAACTATAAATGCATATATTCTGTATTTAGAAAATTAAATCCAGAACTATAAATATTACCTGAAACAAGATACATCTACTACAAGTAACTTGGAAAACATTCTGTAACCAATTTCAAGGAGAATTCTTAAAGTTGGATGGAGAATATGTAAATTTTCAAAAATCTGCTTTCTTGCTTGTATGAAACTTTTATGCCATGGTCTAGAAAAGTCTAATCCTCTACAAAATAAACAAAACAACAATACTAAATACATGGGAGAAAAAAAAGAAACAATATTACTTTGATTAACAGACAACAGGGAAACATTTTTCAATTTTAAACTCTTTAAAAGTCAAACTCAGACTATCAGAAATAAGAAAACTATTTCCACTTTGGCTTCAGAAAAACATCTAGAATATAGCTTTATTAATATAATTTACTCACTCAGGTTCAACTGGCAAAGGTCCTTCTTTTTCATATTCAAGTAATTTTACTTCAGGCTTGATAAGAACGCTTCGTACTGTGATATATCGAAAATATGTGTTAGGAAATGCTATTTAAAAGTAATATTTTATAAATTATATTTAACTTCAAGGACTATTCAAAACATTATGTCAGCTTTGAAAATGAGCATGGCTATGGCCATTTTCCCTATTCATTTTCGGTTCACTCATTGAAGGGGGGAGGGGGAGTTGCCAGGTGCTTCACTAGTCAAAATAATCTTTTGTCCTGTAGGAACCAAGGTCATCGGCTGCTCCCTAGACTGCTGGCTGGGCGTTTTGTGCAAAGCCCACCAAGAAGATATATTGGAGAACGTAGTTGCTTGCATAGCTTTAGAGGTGGGATTTCTTAACTTTGTATTGGGGAATTGTTACGTGCGTCTTCAGACTTGGTTTCACTTTTGACATGCCGATATTTTGTAACTAATAAACATGTTCTTTGAGGAATTTCCAAGCTTCAGAGTTCTGCTTTATTTGTCTCTGTTGGAACCATGACACATTACAGAGATATGCTGGTATTTTGAGAAACAGCCTATGCATACTATTTTAGCATGTTACTCATAAAATAATGTTTAAAATGTTTTATTTTCAACAAAATAATTGATACTGATTTGGCTTTTAAAAACATGTAAAAAGTACATAGAAGCTACAGCATACTTTAGGGGTATCAAATGCGAAGTTTATTCCTGGATTGTTAAGGTAGTAACATGGTTGTTTAGGGAATCTGGCTTCTCCATTGACGTTGCTTGTTAGAAGGTCACAAAAGGTGATCACATGACCCTGGGACACTGCAACCGTCATAAATATGAATCATTTGCCAAGCATTCAAAATCCCCATGACTATGGGGATGCTGCAATGGTCATTAAGTGTGAAAAAGTGTTGCAAGTCACTTTTGTCAGTGCCTTTGTAACACTGAAAGGTGACTAAATAACTACAGTAGTCCTATATATAAATGATAACTATTGTTAACATATAGGTAAGTAACATATTAGCATGTTTTGAGAAAAATATCTCTGATAGAATCAGGTATCAATATAGTTTTTGCTATCTAGGCAAGAATTACATGTTTTATGTTATACAAAGAAATATATAGAAAAATGTATGAGAAAAGGGGTATTATTGTAACATGATACTGTTAGTGGAACTTACCCATATATCTTTTCATACTCATTTCATAATCATTTGTTATCTCATTTAAGAGTTCTTCAACCAGTTTCTCTCTATCCTTGCCCTCCATGAGAGATTGAGGTACCAATGTGAGCATGGAGATTAACCATTCCTGCTGAATAGGTACCACTGGATTACTTTCAACACATTTCTTCATAAAGAGATAATTATTCTGAAATGAAACCACCATTATGTAATGAAATAAAACTAATGATTTTTACTGTTTGTGATTTGAAAGTATAAATTGTAATATTACTCTGAGAGCTTAACCTTATGTTCCATACTCTACAGCAGACATATCAAACCCGTGACATCACATGATGTTGCGCGACGTATCAGGACTGTTTTGCCATTGCCGGTAATGGGGTGGGTGCAGCTTCCGCGTGACGCATCCAGCCCGCGGGCTGGCATTTTGACACCCCTACTCTACAGTATGAGAATGTCTTGCTAGCTGTTGCTAAAAGACAAATAGTGTTGGCTTTGTGTCTTTTTTGTTGCCTCCAGCCTGATTACAGTTCTTTCAGTTTTAAGGGAAAGTTTTCCAAGTTGTGCCAATGAGATAAAATATTACAGCCCTAAAAAAGATGGCCTGGGCAGAACAATAACTTTCCCTGCCCAGTCTCCCAGGAATAAACAGACTCTAGCTTATTTTTGTCTTCCCATGCAGGAGAGAATATGTTTAGCATTGTTTGCTGACTGATGTTCGGTATTTTTTATCTTTACACTCTACAAGCATAATCTAACACAAAAAAGTACTACATATGGTAAAGGAGGAATATATGCTATATTTCTATTAAATGTATACATAAACTTTTTAAAAAAATCTTACATATCTTAATTAGAATTCTTAATTAATGTGTAAATATGAATACTATTTTAAAAATCAGAAATTCATGTTACCAATATTTTAATCAAAATCTTTATAATTTTGATTTGACAAGGCTACCAAAACCATGAACATGGCTGCCAAGTTAAATTAATAATTTGCAACTTTAGGATATCCTAACAAATATGATCTTCAAATTACATTAATAAATAGTATAGAGCATCTTCATCATTTGTAGTTCTACGGATAAGGAACAACAAACCCTATGAATATTAGCTGTATTTCCATATCTCATAAACTTATAAAGTTTATGCAACATGTTACAATCATAATAAGCCTTTTAAAAATCCTTAAATCACTTACTCTAATTTGTTTCTGTTCACTGTTCATCTGTTGAAAAAAAAAAGTAAGAAAAGATCACAAAATTGAATGAGAAATTGTTGATAGAGTGAATGAAAAAAATACTTCTGTCCAAAATTCAATCAGGCTAAACTATAACTTTTAACAGCTATGCAGTAAATGAAAACTCCTCCTGTTTTGTACTATTGCTGATATCTGCAGCATTGCAGCTCACCCAGCTAGTATAGATCTGCATTAAGAAAGGTAACTAAGCAGAGTATTCATGGTGAGAAAAAAAAACAGCAGGTAAGGAAACATACAGATATTTACTGCAACCTGACTTTGGATGAAAGAACTAGACTTCAAAGTAATCAATTAGTTCCTGACCTAGAAATTATTATAAGATATTTTCTATCTATTCTATCTATTCCACCTTTCTACCCATAAGGCCCTCAAAATGGTTAATATGATTTCCACGAAATAGATCTTAGTTATTTCCAGAGTTCAGTGTAACCATTTATGCAGTAAAAGTGAAAAATTCAAAAACAAGGAACTTTGTTAACACCTGCCCAGAGAATCGTAAATGCTTAGTAGCTAAAGTGCTCATAGTGATAGCATCAACAGTGATTGTATTGCTTATACTAATAAAAAACTTTTCACAGGTTCCTCTTCAGCTTAATTGAAATTATCTGCTATCTAAGGCTATGGGACTTTTATAAATGAGGATCAAGTCTCTTTGGTTAGGATTGAAATAGATCCAATAGTAGGATTTATACACTACTAACCTATTATTTCTTGACCTATAGTTTGTTGAATGAACTACAATAATAGGTGAAAATCCGACCGAACACAGGTAAGGAATCATATTAGATCCTACCTTGTGGCGATGAGGGTGGCGAGGTCCAATTACTACTCCACCCTCATTGCGTCATCAGATAATCGCCCAGCCTCCCTCTTCAGGGTGACCCGCTCCCTTCTCCAATTGGGGGGGGGGAGGACCACCTGGCAGGGAAGGCTGAGGAGTTTGCACAGTATCTGCATGACAAAGTCGCTCGGATCCGAGAGGGTTTGGACTCCGACTGGGTGGCCCCGGGGGAGGTGACAGGAGCAGGTCTTGAGACCGTTATTTGGGAGGAGTTTGACTCTGTGACTCCCGATGACGTGGACAGCGTCCTGGGGAGACTGAGTGCAGCCACATGTTTGCTGG